TCAAGAACGCCAAAGAGGCAAAGATCCTCCAAAACTTCGGAGACGGCATCTGTAAGATACTGGATGAAAAGCTGCAACGGTATTATAGAGAGAACGGTAAGAAGCAACCGCATGGGTGGATAAGATGATCCAAAACACACGCTAATATGTTTACAACACAGAACGAGACTAGATTTCACTGTATGTGTACTTGTGTGTTACTTTTCTTCACTGTTTCAATTCAGTTCTTTATACAGCATCAATTAACAACAGCCGCCGCTTCAATGCACCTTAAAAGTGATAGGGAGGAACAATCAGGCAATACCCTATGAGCAAGCACTTGGCAGCTGTGGTCAAGAAGAGCTCCCTTTTAACAGGAAGAAACCTCCGACAGAACCAGGGTCAGGAAAGGGCAGCCATCTGACATTAGCAACACAAAGAGACCAAGGACTAACTATGAGGGAGACGAGACAAAAGTTTCAGAAATGCAGTTGTGGCATTTAGAAACATCAGAAGTGAAAAGAGAGGAGTGGAGAAGAAAGGCTCAGTGCATCATGGGAAGTCCCAGAGTAGCCTTTCTTTAGAAGTTTTTAGAAGCACTATTAAAGGACGATTCAGGGTCACCTGATCGAGCCCTAACTATTTGCTTTATCAAACAGGAAGGTTTTAAGCCTAAACTAATAATTAGATAGGGTGTCTGTCTAATTAGAAGAGGGGTCTGAAAGCTGAAGGCTCTGCCTTCCATTCTACTTTTAAATCCTATCCTAGGAACCACAAGTAAGCCGGCAGTCTGAGAGAGAAGTGCTCTTTTCAGATATAATGGAGCCTGATCATTCTGGCTTTTGTATGTCCTCAATGATCAGGCAATCAAACAAAATGAGCTTGTGATTAAAAATTAGAATTAAGAGCAAAACTGTAGAAAATCATACAAAAAATGCATCATTGCAAAGTTTGCTTTGCAAATCTGGAAGTTTGTATTCATGTAATTGTTGACCTCTCAATAAACTTATGTTGTGTTCAATGTCTGTAGTTTTGCATCAAATCATAAAACATTAAAGGAACAAATATTTAGTCTGTTTAAAGTAGAGGAAGTGAGCTTTTAATGGACGCTTAACCCCAGATCACTGAAAGCAGTTTTGTAACATTATCATTAATGTCAGGTATGTTTTACCCTGTAAAACAAACAAACATCAACATATATTGAGCTGAAAGAATACATGGCAAACTGAAGCAATCCTCTTTTATTTCTCACTATACAGCATCTCACTAAACAAAGAAGGTATCATGGTGGGACTCTGTAAAGAGATTCTGAGATTAGTAAAACTAGGGAGTTGTTAACAAAACAAGATAAATAAAAAAATAATCAGTGGAACTGGTAACGTGTTCTTCGGTCAGACCATTGCAGAGACGTGTGAGCCTTGTCGAGTGACCTCTAAATGATATTTACTCTGTGAAAATCACGTATCACAAAGCAACCAGTTTACCCAGCTCCCGTGTCTTCACCTGTTCCTCTGCTCCAGGTGCTGACGCTTCTATACACGCTCTCCCCAAAGGAGCGCCCCCTCCTGGCCGATCAGACAATAACATCATCCTGGCTCCATCCAAAAAGGTAAAGTTGGAAACAAAGAGGAGATTCATGGAAATAAATATTTTCCTTCACACCAATAAATGCTTTTTGTGATTACAGTAAAAGTAGAAGCATCAGAAACGACAACAAAAAAAACCTCAGCCAGATATTTGCAGTATGAGGGGATGTTTCCATTGTCATTACAGTGTGTAACTATTTTTTCCTCATAGAAAAATGCTGCAGGTGATCAAGGAAAGGATGGAGGAGGAGATGGAGGGAGGAAGAAGAAGAGGGAGTATGTCCCCCAGAAGAGATCCGGGGGCTATGCTGTGCTGCTGACTCTTTACAAAGAAACTCAGGTAGATTTTTCCTCTTTCTTCCAACTACTGCAGCATCAGTCAGTGTTAAACCGGTGTTTCATTACCACCGTGTGCTTTCTGTCTAGGTCCCTGGTAGTAAAGGTTACATGTTTAAGATGGAGCTGCAGGCAGAAGCTCAGCATCTCTGTGACAAATCGTTCACTGCGGTGAGTGCTTTCACTTC